TTTTTTTTTCCCAAACGGAGTTGTGGCCAAGAGGCAACACCACAACCCAAGAAATTTCATACAAATTTACAACCAAACACAATCAATACACGGTATAGATAACATATATCAATCTAACTATCGATCTCGTAAAAAGAAGAGGGCCAAGAATAGACCCTTGTGGCACACCCTACACTATAACCTGCGAGACTGAATTTGGCCTCATGTAAACGTGTGAATGTCATTGTTCAGCGCCCTGCTGGAGAAGAGCAAGTTGTGCAACAGTTCCGAACCATTGAGCAGTTTGGCTTTCTCCTGTTGCGCTATGATGATGCTTAGTGAAGGCAATGAAACCAGCACTTCTCTTCTTCACAGGTCAAGTTGAGAGGAGACCCGCCAAGAAGTCTGTAACCATCTCCAAAACATCAGGTGACGCCACATTGTCAACATTGAAGCTCCTTAGGAGGGTTTCAAAGCGTGGGGGGTTAATACAGTATACATGGCTTTGCATGTGCAGCCTGTCATTTGTCGGTGCAGTCTGCAGAACAAACACGGTCTGGAAGAGAGGCAGGGGGGCTAATTTGTGAGCAGCCGGTGGGAAAGCAGCGGAGAGGTTTTGTTCACAGTTAAGACAAAGAGGAAGCAGCCTCACGGGCCTGTTATTACACTCGCTCTCTCTTCATGACACTCTTCGTCTCGGTGGTTTCTCATCAATTATGTGGTGACAGAACCGCGAGACCGCGATCTCTCATTTGAGGTAGACCGAGGACGTGGACCGTCGTCTTCTCCGTGGATGAAATGTACTGAGCGCTGCCGTTTGCCTCCATGTGTCCCAGCGGACGGCGATCCTCACTTTGTGGTGGACTTTCCTGTCAGCAAGACGGCCGTCTGCTTCAACATCAACGGCGAGCCCGGTCGTGTCCTCCGCCTGCTTTCCGATCACAAATTCTCCGGTAGGTAAAAAGACGGCGGGCCACGGTGTCTCAGTGATCGACCGACCTATGATGCAGATTGACAGACAAGACGGGACAATTCAATGCTCATCCGCTGGATGGCGCCAGGCACAATGAACCTGGTGCAATTTGGACCACAGTTGATGTTGCAATACACCAGAGGGGTCTTGCCCTCCTGAGGGCGAAGGTCATATTTGTCAACTACGGCCATGTGAAGCCCTCTGAGACTGTTTATTATGAAGAGCGATAGAAATAAACATGACTCGCTTCGACATGACTTGAGTCTTATGATGAAAGACATAAATTGCATGGAAATGAACAAATGAATACCGCACGTTCGGCAAGTGACGCCGACGGTGCTCATGCGCTTCTTGTGCGTTTGTTCAGGCGTGACGGTGAACGGCAAACTCGTCGGCACGCCGGCCCCGCCGGGTAGTCGCAAGCGTCAGCGCACCTACTTTGGCAGCATCGCCGTGGTGGCCGACCGCCCCCGCCGCACCTACATCGAGGTGACGCCCACCAAGGTCATCCTGGACGGGCCGGACCGCCTGGTACTGCCGTGCCACTCGAGCGCCTCCGTGGAAAGCGGCGCACTGTCGGTGGCGCTCGTCGGCGGCAGCAACGTGACGGTGAGCGTCGGCGGCAACGTCAGCTTGGTGGTCCTGCTGCACCACTACAAGAACCCGGCGCCCTACCAGCGAGACCACTTGGGCTTCTACATCCAAGACAGCCAGGGCCTATCACCGAGCTGCCGTGGCCTTCTGGGTCAGTGGCAACTTGGCCGATTGTACTGAAATGAATTTATGGGCTCATTTTTTGCAGCCGGGGTGGCACCGTTGAAGCTCCAAAAAAATCTTTCTTGATTGTCGGAACAAACTCGCACTCCCAGCTGAGGAAAATTTCACCTGTCCTCTCACCTCTTCACAGGCCAGTTCCTGCATCAAGAGGTGAGCGTGGTGGAAGCAGTTCCCGGTGAGAATCCCTTGTCCGCACTCTTGAAGGTAAAGGGCCGCTCAGTGCCGGTGGTCCGCAAGAGCCGACGCATCCACGGCGGCGCACAGAGCGTGGACTGCTGGTTCGCCAAGAACAACGGCGCCAAACTCCTGGACGGACGCTACGAGGACTACGTCGCGTCACACGTGTTCGACACGGGCGAGGGGCCGCAGGGCAGCAATGCGGCGTGACAGCCCCGCACTGGCACACCAGATCGGCTCGGTCCAGGTACTGTCGAACTTGTGGGAAATTATCTTTGAATAAGACAGGAGAACGGTGGCAACATGCACGAAGGGTATTCCTTCACCATTGACGGAAACAGCAAAAACTGTCCAGTATCCGAGTATTTTCCCTTATCTTTTTCTGTTGGACTGATGGCTCAATTTTTCATGCCTTTGGAACCTTATTTTATACACACTAATCGAATTTGGCAGCCATGCCAACACTCTACTTTGTTACAACAACCTGACGAATATCTTTTTTTCTCACACACTTGAAAAGTGTGAAATATAACTATTCTTTTTGGTCTTTTGCTGTTACGATGCTTTGAATTTCGTCGTTAGAACACCATCATAC